CTATTGTTTGCTGCAGCATGTGCTGTGCTGTGCCACATGAGCCAACTATCCGCCCCACAGGGGTCAGGGCCTCCATAGCTCCTGCACTCAATCTCTCAACCGCGCACCAGTGGAGGCACACATGATAGATGTACATTTCAATCTTATATTAATTTAATGTACAGACTGCAGACTCACAGATTGCTGCAGCAGGTGTGACATGAGCCAACTGTCCGCCCCGCAGGCCTCTGTGGCGCCCACTGCTGCTGTGGAGACAACACCAGCCATGACACAGCATTGCTTGTTCTCTTTCTCATTTTACGATGGCACTTACTGATTGCTGCAGCAGGTGTGACATGAGCCAACTGTCCGCCCCGCAGGCCTTTGTGGGCCCCACTGCTGCTGTGGAGACAACACCAGCCATGACACAGCATTGCTTGTTCTCTTTCTCATTTTACGCTGGCACTTACTGATTGCTGCAGCAGGTGTGACACGAGCCAACTGTCCGCCCCGCAGGCCTCTGTGGCCCCCACTGCTGCTGCACTCAACCGCTCACACGATGATGCCCACCCATGGAAGCTGGGGAGAGGGGAGGAGAGGGAGGAGGAGCCAATGGTTGAAGGAAGGCTTTCAGTTGCTGCAGTTGACGATGTTGCTGAGGCTCCAAATGGTGCTGCTGCTGGTGCTGCGACTGCGGCTGCGGCTGCTTCTGCTGCTGCTGCCATGGAAGCTGCTACAGTGATAGCCACACTGCATGGAACAGATAGTCGGAGAAGCACACAAGCAAGCAGGGAGTAGTGTCACCGTGACGTGACTCCAGCATCCTTGCACGCTCAGACAGAGCAAAGCGACTTTTGAGTCAAGCTCACAAGTCAGAAATCAGAGAAACGCATAACACAAGGGAGAAAAGTGGCCCGTACCTTTCAATATCTGGGCCTGGTCCCCCACGCTCCCCTTCCTCCCCTTTCTCTCCTTGCTCTTCTTTCTCCTCAGGTCCACACAGCCCATGCAGCGTAAAAGTGACATGTGGCAGCAGCAGGCTGACATACGGCATAGCATGCACACAGGCTGTGCAGGAATGCGGAGGCCCATGATCGGTCTCCCTGCCCCATTCCTCCACCTCTCGCCACTCGTTCCCTCCTCCAGCCTCATCATTTGCTCCTTCGTTATCCTCCCCTTTCTCGCCCTCATCTGCTTCCTCCTGTTCCTCCTCCTCCTCCTCCTCCTCCTCCTCCTCCTCCTCCTCCTCCTCCTCCTCCTCCTCCTCCTCCTCCTCCTCCTCCTCCTCCTCCTCTCCCTCCTCTTCCCCCTCTTCCCCCTCTGCCTCCTCTTCCCCCTCTGCCTCCTCTTCCCCCTCATCCCCTTCCTCAGTCTCCTCTTCTTCCTCCCTTTCCTCCATTATAATCTCCTCAATCTCCTCTCCTTCTCCTTCCTCCTCCTCCTCCTCCTCTCTCTCCTCCCCTTCTCTACTCCCCACTGCCCCACTCGTTGGCTCGAGAACAAAAAACTGAGTACAAATTACGTTCCTACCTCTGTTATGAGGTGCCTCGTTATTCATTTCGGTGGGATATTGGGTGCAAATCACATTCCTCTCCTTCCAATCCTTACTCCCCTCGTCACTCCCCACACCAACAGCTTTTTGAGAAGAATTCAAACGATCACCGCCCTCCTCACTGCCAACACCAACAGCTTTCTGAGATGCATCCAAGGCCCTACTCCCTTCGTCGCTCCCCACACCACCGTTTCCCACACCCCTGCACCCCTCTCTCTCCTCCTCTCCCCTCCTTCCCACCCCAGGCCCCTCCACTAGAACCACGTCATCATCCTCCTCCAAATGTCTCCCCCTCTCTTTTCTCTTCCTTCCCTCTCCTCTCACCCTCCCCTCCTCTCCCCCATTTTCCTTCTCCCTCTTCCCCCTCCCCTTCTCCCCACCCGCCACTCCTTCCGCCTCCTCTTCACCACTCTGCCGACCACACGCCACCTTACTCTGACTACTCCTCCCCAGTGTCCCTACCTTTCTCCCAGTCACCCCAGGATTCGATCTAAAACGAATTGAGGCTCCGCCTCCGCCCACGTCCTGTCTTCTCCTCGCGCTCCCTGCTCCTTTCTTACTATTTTGACCACTTTTTGCCCTGCCAATCCCCACCCGCTTCCCTCTGATACGAGCTACCTTTCTCACTCCTCTGCTTTCTCTCCCCACTCTTTCCTTTCTTACCCCGCCTTCAGCCCCTACTGAACGGACTTCCCTTCCACCCAAACCATGATCACATTCTAGAACTCCAACATCCCCATTCTTTCCTCTCCTTTTCTTCCTTCTGCCCCTCCTGTCCGCCTCTTCATATTCCTGAAAGAGTCTCCTTTTCAGGCCGCCACCAGATATACCCCGGCCCTCAACATCGTGACATCTATTAGTATCACTGTTACCATGGAGGCCTTGTTTACAGTGCTGTTGGTAACCACCGAAGCCTTGGTTACCATGCTGTTGGTTGCGTTCATGCTGTTTGCTGCAACGCCCTTTCAGCTCATGACACGTGGAGCATGGCAATGTCCGAGTGCCTCTGATGAGCTGGCGGACAGCAGAGGCGTCCAGTAGGAAAACGCCATTGGTCCCGAAATCGAGCACAGTCCTGAAACAGGAGGAGGGCGTGGTAGGTCTTAGCTTGGAAGCGAACAAGACGCACTCACAACACCAAGACAGAGGCGAAACACAACCCATACCCCTCTCCCCCATCCCACTCCGATTTTCCTCTTCCACGCACGCATAAAAAAGGCTGGATAGAACATGCCCTTCGCTTCATCATACCTGAGTCGTGTAGCTGGTGGGGACTTTGATTCTGGGGCTCGGCCTGCTGCTGATGTCTCGGCAAAGGGTGTTACTGATGCTGCTCCTGCTGCTGCTGCGGATATCGCTGGTGTTGCCGCTGCTGCTGCAGTTGTTGTAGCTGGAGCTGGTGCTGACGCTGGCGTTGCCATTGCAGGCTCGTAATCAGTTGACGTGGGTTCGGGCTGGATCAGGCAGCCCACTCGGACACCCTGATACAGGAACAGTACGGGATTGCACAAATGAGAGGGATAGAATGTGAGATTTAGTACAGAACATGATGATTCCTATTCATGAGGGAATGCTGGATCAGGCGGCCCACTCGGACACCCTGATACAGGAACGGAGCACAATATGTTGAGAGGTACAGAATAAGATGGAAAGTACATGATAGAGTAAAAATACAGGTTAAGACCAGATACACAAGTCAAGAGAAGATACATAAAAGAAACGGTGATAGGATGAACAATACGTGATAGAGCGCGGGATTAATGGCCACGCCTCAAAATACCTCAACCGCTGCCTGGAGCAAACGCTCCACACGCCTCCTGTAACATCCACACCAATACACTCACACCCATTACACTCACGAAAAGCGTGGCGTTAGTGTTCCGCTGGTCCACGGGAAACTCGAGGTGAATGGCGTTGGGAGCGAGAAAGCCCAACAGCTCATCATTCCAAGGCTTGTCATGCCGAGATGGCGTTTCAGTCAATACATGCTCATTGTGATGTGAACCGACATTCCCAAGGTGCTGTGAATGCCTTCCAGTGGATGGCGATCCGTACTGTTCCGACGCACTAACGTGGAAGCTTCCGAAGCCCTTAAAGACCCAGCTAGGCTCCGGAGAGGGAAGGTTTGCAGGATTAGCTGGTTCGGCGACCGAACCAGCTGGTTCGGTGCTAGGCTCGTTAGCATTGAGAGGGGTGGCAGGATCGCTAATACGGCTGCGGTTCAGGGATGCATGCGGATTGAGCCATGGCTGCGCTTTTAGCCAGGTACTGCGATCCATGCGTAAATAAATGCCAGCACCTCGAAAAACAGCGGTTTGAAAACGAGGAAATGGATGCGAAATGTATTTCTATGACGTGCAAGGGATTGCGAGAGAAGCACTCTTGAAAAAAGAGAAGCATATGGGATTGAGACTCTTGTAGCCAAGTTTCCACTCATGGGCATGGAAGTTCTGACAATCCCTGTGCTTCTGACTGTCAGAGATTTCCAGTTTCTCGGGAAAACCGAGGCTGGTTCGGCAGCTTCAAGGTGACGACAACGATAAAAACTGCAATGCCTTCGATATATCGTCCTGGTGAAAATTGTTAGGATCACTGTATCCCTTGGTAAAGCTATTGAAAATCCCATATGCATATCTCTCTTACCCTTCCACCAAGCGTTTTCGTAATGCAATGATTGAAACAGCTAAAACCGAGTCCTAATAAGAAATATGTGGATAACGTCTTTTACTGAAACCAATTCGTGACATATCAAACCATGGAATGTCACATCTGTCCATATCAAGAGACGTTCCTGTTTTGTGTACATTTCAATACATTTCTAGGTCTTCTAGCTAAAACTTAGAACATTCAGCTCAGCACATGGTATGTGGAGCTCCACGAGTAGTTCAGTGGTTTTCACGGTGCCATGGACACGCAGAGACAAACAGCAAGCATGATGTGCCCCTGTTATGACACATTCCGAGGTACAGCATGTGATGTAACCCCTACAACAGCCCCTGCTGCCACCACGTCTCCCCCGGTACAGCTTGTGCTGCGTGTGAGTCATGAAACCCTCACAGCCCCTGCTGTCACAGTATCCACCACAAAGTGCAATGCAGCAGCAGGTGGACATTCACCAAGACTACCGCGCCTATAGCTCCTTGTGCGGCCAATGTTTACCAGGCGGCTTGGAGCAACGTTTCAGGGGCTTGGTACAGCTAGTGGACGGAGAGGCAGCACAGCAGCACATGCCACCATTCATCAAACTGCCACCTGCTTACATCGTAGTAACCATCCAATAAATATGGTGACCATCATTATTTGTTACAACCTACCAGGGCACGAGCTGTGCCCAAACAATATTGACAGCTCTGGAGACTCCCTATGCGCATCAAATAACAGCCGGAGCTGCAATTGAAGGGAAAGAACAATGCAAATCTACACTAACTGCCACTGAATTATTTTAAATATGGGACTCCAAAGCACCCTCTTAGGCAGGCGGCCTGATGAGGTTATCCACGCCGTGAACCTTGATAAATTTACCATTGAACAGGTCCGGCTTGTCCACCCGCACCCACGACAGCGGACCCGAGTTAGGCCGGCCGAACCCTACCTCGTTGCCGGCAGGCGGGAGAAGCTTGTTGATCGCGGCGGCGCCCGCTTGCGTGCCGACCTTCTGGAAAAAGTTGGTCTCGAGAAGGTCCTTGTTCTTGATCACCCAGTCCTTTGCGGCGGGGCTCACGGCCTTGCGCTCTACCGGGCGGTTCTTGTAAAGGGAGCGCAGCTGGGTGCCGCGGGGGAGGTTCTTCATTTGGCTGAAGGAGAAGCGGCCGCGGATGATGTTGTAGCGGGCGAATCTGGTAACCAGCTTGGGGTTGAATAGCGCGCGAAGGCCGAGTTTCGCGAGGGCGGAGTCGGTGGGGACGAGAACGGTGGTGTTTTCGACGAGCTTTAGCTTGGCGTTCGGGAAGTTGCCTGGGGAACGACTCACGTGACAGGACAGTGGTGAAGCGCCGGGGGGAGGGAGAACCAGCAAGGGAAAGAAAAAATAACGATGTTTCGGTAACACATCGAGCGGTAAGTGGGCAGAGAAAGTGCGAACGGGGGCACAACCATGGGTGCAACAGATAAGCAATACGACGGCGGGAAGGACATAGAACAGTCGGTCAGAAAGCTTGGCGAGGTGAGTCGAGGAGGACGCATTAGGCAAAGGACTGGACCGAGTAAGGCGAAGAGACGAGGGAGCACAGCAGGACAGAAGGTGTTATGACGAGGGAGCACAGCAGGACAGAAGGTGTTATGACGAGGGAGAACAGCAGGACAGAAGGTGTTATATCGAGGGAGCCCAGCGGAAGAGAAGGCGTACTAAGGGTGGAGAAAACTTTGGCCGGAAGGCTGTAGCCTGGCTGGGCCGCGAGGATGCTCGCCACTTGCTTCAGCTCCGCGCGAAACGTTGTCGCAGGCGGCGGGACGGACGACGTGCTTGGCGACGTGATGGGCGCTGGCTTGGGCAACGAGTCAGGCGATGGGCGCGGAGCGAACTGGGCAGCAGCAGCTGAGGTGAGGAGTAGTGACGTCGCGAGGAGCGCTAGAGCAACTCTCGAAGCCATGGCTGAGCAAGTCTGGTACAAGGGAGCTGGCTGAACGGCAAAGTATTAGTTAGAGTGCTACCGAAGTAGGTCGTATCAGCTGGAAAAATCAAGTTAGGGCAGGCAGACGCTGAGGGTAGGTGGCAAGTGAGCTAAGTCGAACGTATTTTGATACTCGGAGGCGGAGCGTTGACGACTATAAAGTTGAGCAAGGCAGGCGTCGAGTGTTGGGTTGATCGGGGCCGATAGGGCTTGCCCAGCTTGCCCAATTTGCTGTTGGGGTTGGATCGCATCGCACACGCAGGTGTCAAAAAGCAGACTACTGTTTACCCTGGGCTGGGCGATTCCTCGCGACGCAGATGCCCATTTGGTCTGGCAACGGCGTCGCCAACGACCATCCCTCACAAAATCGAACGCTGCAAATCAATTGCCTGATGAGAAGCGTGCTGGAAGCGTGGACCCTGGGTTTTAAAGTCGTACAGTACGTCGCACACCCTGGGTTCTTGTCCCAGTGTTCGTGTGATCGTCGCAAGAATGTGGAAATGCGAAAATGCGATAACGACAACCCTGGTTTGAGCGACAATTTACAGGGAAGCCCTCACTTCTACAGGCACAGATTCCAGGCACTCATCGAGGCGCTGCAATGTTGGCGAGCCGCATTTGTGTTGACGCTGAAAACAGCCCACATCAGCAAAGCGCACTCGCTATAGCAGCGTACCATCGTTGAAGGCACATCAATCCTCGACGGTACTTCGACCATCGTCCGCGTTACAATGACCTTACTATGATAATTAAGCACATCAATTATGTAGTGAGCACCACGTTACTGAGTCAGAAAAGGTGCCTCTGGGAGGTGTGCGGGACCAACGGCAGGAGGGTAGGGCTGCAAGCCCTGAACGGCAGTGGGGAACGTGTTGCGTGGAACATCAGAGTGGAATTGCGCTGTGAAAGTGTAACCCCAGTGAGGCTCGACCAGGGGCGTGTGGTGGGGGATGCAGGTGACCCCAGGGTAAGGCTGCTGTTGTCAGAATTGTTTGATGGGATGGAGGTGGTTCCGCTGAGGAAACTCAGGGAGCCGAGCAAAGGGGCGGAAGCTGTGGCGGAAAAACGGGCAAAGTGGGAAGCGCGGGCGGGAAAGAGCATCGATTGGGAACGGGGGAGGAGGGTAAGGGACTCCCTCGCTGTCCCGGCAAGGGCGAGAGATGTCCTACTAAGGGTGCAGAATCTCAACCTACAGGTGGGGGAGAGGGTCTATTTCTTGGGCGGCGGGGTGACGTGTCCGCACTGTGGCGGAACAAAGACGCTGGAGCATTGCCTGTTGGAGTGCCCCCACATTCTGCCGGTGGTGGCTGCGGTCAAGTTGGCGTTATGCATGATGCAGCCGGGGAGGCACGTGGATGACCTGGCAGGCCTGTTGTTCGGGGAGGAGGAGACGAAGTCGGGTTTTCCGGAGGCGACTATGATGGCGATAGCGGTGCGCCAGATCTGGCTGGGGAGGTGTGATGTGTCGCTCAAAAAGGTCAAGAAGCTCCAGGCTCGGAAGGTGCTCCGGAGAATAAACGTGGAGTTCAACAAACACGCGCGGGTTAACTGTAGTAGGCCAAGTAAGCAGGCTCGGAAGGATAAGGCACGTTGGAATCTGGCGGATGACGAAGCATGCGTGATGCGGAGAATTTGCGACAACATGGCAGTGGGTCTGAGGTAGCACGGGGACTTCCAGTCGATCTGGTCGAACCCGAGAACTTTCGTGAAACCGCCGTAGGTTCGCAGGGAGGGCCGGGTACACCACCTGGTTTGAGCCCGCAAAATCAGTTACGACTGAAGTGTTTTGCTTGTGCACCTGTTGTGTAAGCTTTCACTGAAAAAAAAAAATAAATAAAGGAGATAATTGAGCTTGGCATTGCTGGTTCCGCGTGACTCGGCGTGTGGGTGTGTCATTACCCGTTGTATTGCATAGATCGCATTTCTAGCCTTAATGGTGCTATTTTCCCTGATGATATGATTGATCAATCAAATATTGTTGAATAGTAACCTAGTATATTATATAGTATCAATAATATATTTTGATTATATACATCACGATCAATTGTCCTAATGCATATCTATACCACCCTCAGCCTGGGTTTGCATCAGGTTACAGGCCAAAAGAGCTACAAGAGAGTGTCATCGCCCCATTGCATGGATGTCGTTGAACCTATTCCTGAGCCTTTACGCGCCAGCCCTTTATTTTTACCATGATATCACGAGCACGAGTTCCAATCCTCGTAAACTGTGAGAGAAGATTGACAAAATCAGAACCACCTGAAATATTACAAGGAGCATCTCTTGGAGCAGGTTCACATCTGGTGCAACCCATAAAGCAATTCACTATGGAAAGTGATACAAGGTTTTTGTGTCAAAAGAAAAAAAGATTTGTTACAAATCACGAAATTATAATAAATTTTGCATCATTATTGTTACGAATGGTAAATTAAGAAAGTGTCAAACATATATGCTGCATATTGTCTAGGCTGTAGTGGGGTAGCCCATATGGGGTACAACCCAATTAGGGTTTACTACTTGTACTCCTGCATGCTGTTAGTTCATCATTCCTGCTGCTAGATTCTAACATGGTATCAGAGCACTAAGGTCCGTAGGACCGTTTTTTTTCGGGCCCACCTACCGCTGCGGTTACCGCAGACAGGTAGTCTTGCTGAGCATCGTGAGCCTGCGTCGCGTCCTGTCTCACCTGTTCGTCCTAGTCGTACCGGTCGTCGTGTTCCTCGTCCGCGTCAGCCGGCTGTCCCCGGCACACGCCTTGTAGCCCTGCGTCGGTCCCCTACTCCGGAGCGTACTCCTCTTCCGTCTCCCCCTGCGTCCTCTTTGCCTGACGTCGCGGACCCTGAGTCTGACCGGTTTCGTGCTGAGCACCCTACTGTCACGCGTCTGCTAGCCACTGTTGTCACTGACCCGTCGTTTGAGTCTGCTGCTGCGTCTGCCCTGGTCGCTGAGCTTGTTGACTTTGCTGCTGCCTGTCGTCTAGACTACGCTGCTAGTCTTGTTGCTGAGTCTGCGTCTGCCTGTCCTCCGTCCGTCGGGGGTGAGTGTGCCCTTGGCACGGACGTCCTTGAGGACATGCACGAGGACCTTGAGTGTCTTGCAGCCGCTGCGCCTCATCTCGTGGCCATGCTGCTTGCCCCTGAGGGAGACCCGGATGCTATAGACATCCCCACACCGCGCTCTTACGCTGAGGCGATCGCGGGTCCCTACTCCTCTCAGTGGCAGGCAGCCATGGACGCAGAGATGGCATACTGGAAGTCCACAGGCACCTACGTCGATGAGGTTCCCCCTCCCGGGGCGAACATCGTCGATGGCATGTGGATTTTCAGGGTGAAGCGGCTGCCAGGTTCTCCGCCTGTCTTCAAGGCGCGTTACGTTGCTCGAGGCTTCAGTCAGCGAGAGGGAGTTGACTTCTTCCAGACCTTCTCCCCTACCCCGAAGATGACTACTCTTCGGGTACTGCTGCACGTTGCCGCTCAGCGTGACTACGAGCTTCATTCTCTTGACTTCAGCACAGCTTTCCTACAGGGCAGCCTGCACGAGGAGATCTGGCTGCGCCGCCCACCTGGCTTCACTAGGACGTTCCCTCCTGGTACCCAGTGGAGCCTCCGCCGGCCAGTCTACGGTCTCCGCCAGGCACCCCGTGAGTGGCACGACACACTGAGGACTACCCTTGCGGCTCTTGGGTTTGCGCCTTCGACTGCTGACCCTTCACTGTTTCTACGCACCGACACTTCGCTGCCGCCGTTCTATATCCTCGTGTACGTCGACGACTTGGTCTTTGCTACTGCTGACACTGAGGCCCTCGCCCTGGTGAAGTCCGAGCTGCAGAAAAGACACACGTGCACAGACCTGGGTGAGCTGCGCAGCTACCTTGGCTTGCAGATCACCCGGGACCGAGCACGCCGCACCATCACACTGACTCAGTCACACATGGTGCAGCAGGTCCTTCAGCGCTTCGGCTTCACCTGGTCCTCAGCACAGGCCACTCCTCTGGCTATAGGTCACTCGCTCTCAGCTCTGCCTTCGGATGAGTCCGTAGAGCCGAGTGGTCCTTACCCAGAGCTAGTGGGCTGCCTCATGTACCTGATGACTTGCATTCGTCCTGACCTTGCGTACCCTCTTGGCCTTCTGGCTTGCTACGTGGCTCCTGGTCGGCACCGAAAGGTGCACTGGGATGCTGCGAAGAGGGTACTGCGCTACTTGTGCAGTACATCGGGCATGGGGCTCGTGCTTGGAGGACGGCGAGAGGTGGTCCTCACTGGGCACTCAGACGCTTCTTGGGTTGACGACCAGGCTACGCAGCGGTCGTCACAGGGTTACACTTTCAGCCTTGGCTCTGGTTCTGTTTCTTGGCGTTCTACTTGCTCGTCTTCTGTTCTCAGCTCTAGTTGTGAGGCTGAGATCTATGCCACCGCCATGGCTGCTCAGGAGTTACGCTGGCTCACCTACCTGCTGACCGACCTGGGAGAGCGGCCTCGTTCTCCTCCAGTGCTGTACGTCGACAACAAGGCTGCCATTGCCTTGTGTGAGGAGCACAGACTGGAGCACAGAACGAAGCACATCGCTCTGCGGTACTTTCTGGCTCGAGAGTTGCAGCAGCGTGGTCAGCTTCATCTTGCTTACGTGGCCACTCGGGCCAACACTGCTGATATATTCACCAAGGCACTTCCGTCTGGTGATCATCAGCGCTTTTGTACTTTGTTAGGCCTTGTGCCTACGTTTCCACACTTGCTGTAGTCTTTTGTGTGTACTGTGCTCTATATTTATACCTGCATGCTTGCTCTTGCTAGGTATTGATCACTGTACTGCTCTTGTTGCTTATATATATCTCTGCATGTGGACTGGCCTTGCGGCCCTTTGCTTGTGCTCAGAATGTGTGGTGACGTTGAGATCCACCCTGAGCTTGCTTTGCGTCTCTTGACTGGTCGTGTGACCCCTTGTTCTCCCCCACTTTGCCTATGGGGGTGTGTCAAACATAT